AGCTGTTGTTAGAGCTGCATCATGGGCAGAGATTAAGATCAAAAGGCTGTCTATGGGCGCCTGGGTGGCTCAGTTGGTTAAGCGACTGCCTTCGGCTCAGGTCATGATCCTGGAGTCCCTGGATCGAGTCCCGCGTCGGGCTCCCTGCTCGGCAGGGAGTCTGCTTCTCCCTCTGACCCTCCTCCCTCTCATGCTGTCTCTCATTCTCTCTGTCTCAAATAAATAAATAAAATCTTAAAAAAAAAAGATCAAAAGGCTGTCTAAAAAAATGGAACATATAGCCTCAGGCCAAATTTTAGTCCATACTTAGGAAAATGCCCACTTTTCCCTCCCCTCACAGCTCATCTCTTCTATTCTTCTTTATTCTTTTCCAGTCATGGGCGGACTTCCTATTTAATTTTTACACTCAAGATTTTAATTCCTACTATATAAAGAGAACTTTGTAAAAAATCATATGATTCTACTTTTATACCATATTCCTAAAGATCTAAGGAGAAACAAATTCTCTTAAAAGATGTAATGAGAGCTAAAATAATATAGTCCTACTATGCGCCTTTGAAAAAAATGTTTGAGGCTCTGATATTATTATTCATGGCTTTAGTAAATCATTGTTCATTATTACTCACATTTAGGAAGTATAATCTTTATTACTTCCATTGGAATATTATCTCAGATTCTGCAGTTTAGTGCCTTCATTTAGGATAAAATGTAAAATATTACAGGGCCAATTCATTACTCTTCGAACATATATGTGTCTTCTTACTCTCATTCCATAGACTGCCATGTGCTTTACCGCTGGCAAAATCGTTATAATCAACAGTATGGAAAGCTGGGCGAGAGTTAAGCTAATTATAATATCTTCAGAATCTCATAACAAGATTTGAAAACCAACTGCCATGCGAAGATTGTTTTTATTCACTCCCTCAAAAATCAGAAAATTATGATCAATTTGTACAGTGCTAGATGCCAAAGCCATGTGGAGCTTTATAAACCTCAGTCAACAAGAAGTTCTCTTTTTAGTTTATCTTTGATAATGAATGATTTTAATTTCATTAAACATTGTGTGCCGCAAGGACTATCTGTGGGCTGGAATATTAAATTGAGCATATTCAGCTAGTAGATTTTATTATTTAAGCTGGATTTTTCATTTACAGAATTGGGACCCAAGGCAAGTATCAAGATAATTTTTTAATCCAATCTCCTCACAAAAAAAGCAAATTAATAAAATTTTGCCCTGATTATCTGATTATTTCTTAATTCTCCATTTCACCTCTAAGGACTGGATTTGTGTAGTGAAGTAAAATATTGTATTCTAATCATTTTATTATTTTGTCTTCTCTCCCTATAAAAAAATGATAGTTGTGAGAATGGAAATTATGTCTCTTCTTTTATTTTTAACTTATTTTCCCTAATTGCTAACAGAGTAGTTAGCACATATTAGGCCTGCATAAATATTTAACAATTGAATGAAGTCAGAGTCTAGTCTTAGAAAAAGGAACTTATTAAAGAATTACCTCTTTTGGGGCACCTGGGTGGCTCAGTTGTTAAGCGTCTGCGTTCGGCTCAGGTCATAATCCCAGGGTCCCGGAATCGAGCCCCGCATCGGGCCCCCTGCTCCGCGGGGAAGCCTGCTTCTCCCTCTCCTACTCCCCCTGCTTGTGTTCCCTCTCTCGCTGTGTCTCTCTCTGTCAAATAAATAAATAAAATCTTAAAAAAAAAAAGAATTACCTCTTTTTGCCATTCTTATCTCTATTATCTTGTAAATTATCTAAGTATTTCTAATAACAAAACCACAATGCCACACTTCAATCACAAGAAAGCTTGTATTTCCGTTCTTTTTCTATCAGCAGAACTTCTAGAGGCACACAGTTGAGAGGAAATAAGTTCAATAATTATTGATTTATTATTGATGATTCTCCCATCAAATCAATGTGATCACTGGGCTTATTAAGTGCAGATCTATATTTTATAGCATGAAGGAAAACCTAACATGTGCAGGCTACATTTTTGAGCATTTACTATGTGGTAGAAGTAATATGTGCTTTGCTTACATTATTCTAATTTAACCCTCTCGGCAAACTGATGGCATACATATTACTATTCACATTTGGCAGGATAGAATATTGAGATTTAGAGTTAAGTATCTTGCCTGATATCATGCAGCTACTAAATAATAGAGCTGTGATTTGTCCTTAGATTGACTTCACCATCCATTCTCTGCCCACCGCAACGCACAGCCAAATACTAAAGTGATTGTATGTCAGAGGGCTATCACACTTGTCTTTGAAGCCATCATTGATTTCGGTCAAGTCATTCATGTCACGAATCTAACATATTTTTGAAGATAAATCTGATTTTAAGTGTAAGGAACTCAAGTAAGAAACCTATTGGTTTTTATTATGTTATGTTAATCACCGTGCATTACATCATTAATTTTTGATGTAGTGTTCCATGATTCATTGTTTGTGCATAACACCCAGTGCTCCATGCAGAACGTGCCCTCTTTAACACCCATCACCAGGCTAACCCATCCTCCCACCCCCTCCCCTCTAGAACCCTCAGTCTTTTTCTCAGAGTCCATAGTCTCTCATGGTTTGTCTCCCCCTCCAATCTCCCCCCCTTCATTTCTCCCTTCCTGCTATCTTCTTTTTTTTTTTTTTTTTACATATAATGTATTATTTGTTTCAGAGGTACAGGTCTGTGATTCAACAGTCTTACACAACTCACAGTGCTCACCATAGCACCTACCCTCCCCAATATCAGGCAATGCAGACACTAATTGTTTTCCTTCCTCTCATTCCTGAGAAAACAATTAGTGTCTGCATTGCCTGATATACAAAATGTCAGTTTTACATAATATTTATGAACTTGCTCAAATCTGTCGAACTTCGCTACTTTTTAAATTTGGAAAGCTTCTTCCTTCAATACATTTTTGGGCTTGCTTGTTTGTTCATTAATACAAATGTCATATAGCTTAAGTTATGACACAAAAATGATTCCATTAGATTGTAACCTCAGTGAACACACATACACCCCCACACACTGACACACTTGCTCACAGTCTCTTTATTAATTCACACTGATTTTGAGCTCATAATATCTAGGCTTGTGAATAGTACATAGGAAATTTTCACATAATTTCTGAAACCTTTGAAAACCATCCCTGTCATCTAACTAGTAAAAACTTCCGTGATATGATTTTAACAATATTATGGATTTTTTTTAATATGTTCTTGATCTATCTTATGAAATAGAGAGGTCAGGCTAATTGGAAACAAAGAATGGCTTAAATGTACTAAACAATGCATTTAATACCAAAGCATGCAAATATCAATCAACATGTCAATCTCCCTTGTAAAGTTACATGGCTTTTCATATTAGCATTTGATTGAGTCCACCAAGGGGAAAATATGACTTAAATATAAAATGGGCTTCTGAATCAGGCTCACTATAAAAAAATACTAAAGAGAATTTTATTTTCAAGATTCCACTGGAAATCAAAAACCATGTTGTTTCTCTGGGTAGCATTAGTTAAGGAAGGAAGGAAGAAAGAAGGAGGGAGGGAGGGAAAGAAGGAAGGAAAGAAAGAAAAGGAAGGAAGGAAGGAGGGAAGGAAAGAAAAGGAAGGGAGAGAAGGTAGGGGAGGGAAGGGAAGGGATGGGATGGGAAGAAAGAGAGAAAGGAAAGAAAGAAAGAAAGAAAGAAAAGAAAGAAAGAAAGAAAGAAAGAAAGAAAGAAAGAAAGAAAGAAAGAAAGAAAGAAAGAAAGAAAGAAAGAAAGAAAGAAAAAGAATGAAAGAAAAAGAAAGAAAAAGAAAGAAAGAAAGAATAAATTCCACTGGGGTCCCATTGGCCAAAGTGAGTGACCAACCAAATTGATGAAATCAATATGCAGGTCAAATACTTTTGCATACCAAAGCTATTATAAATGTAATAATGCTTCAATATGGATGATTCTAATTTTTAAAGGGACATCCCAATGCAGAGCAAATGGACTCATCATTTCAGCTTTAATAAAAACAAAAGCATAAATCATTTGAATAATCACTTACAGTTTGTGGTAACAAAATGTGACCTATGTTAATGCAACGAACCTCCATCTCTTTCTCTAGATGCTTTCTCACAGTTGTCACTGGTATTACTTTCCTTACTCTAGGAGCACAAATATGTTCCACTACTGTAGACCCTATGTCTCCTTCAGAGATTATAAACAAAGACTAGCAATTCAGAGATAACAGATTTCTGTCTTTTTTCAGTAATTCTCCCTTCTAAGTGTAGTGAAACTGACTTCAGAAAAACAAACATAAATCCCCTTACTCTGTTTCTTTTTTCTTTTTAAAGATGGAAAATAAACCATTTTACAATTCCACTGTCTCACTGTATTATAATACTTGATGTGATTAAGAATGTCTTTTGAACAGATTAAAGATACAGAAATGTTAAAATGAAAGAAAGCTCATGCTTTGTTTTTGGTTTTGTTTGTTTTTTTTAAGATTTTATTTATTTATTTGAGAGAGAGAACATGAGCAGGGCAGAGGGAGAAACAGACCCCCCACTAAGCAGGGAACCTGATGTAGGACTCGATCCCAGGACCCTGGGATCATGACCTGAGCCCAAGACAGACACTTAACTGACTGAGCCACCCAGGTGCCCCTGAAAGCTCATGGTTTTTAAGAGAAATAGTCCTGTTCAATTTTATTTAAGACTTACTTATTGCATCTAAATTTCATGACTATTGTTTTGAATCTTAAAGTAGTTGCTCTAAGTTTCATTTTTAAATTAATTTTTTGTCTATTATAAACATTCTATTGCCACAGTTATACTTTTAATACTTTGTGTCATTGAACACTTGTAGATGGCACAAATATAGTAGCCAAGATACATAGTATAATCAAAGTATTTAAATAAAAACTAAAACAATTATTTCCACAGGTATTAAGTTCCATTTGGTGTATATTAAAATTAATGGATATTGTTAAAAATTACATTCATTTTTTTCAGATCCCAGAAGTTAGCAGAAATGATGAGCAAGAAAATGACTATGAAGATGATATTACCTCACTACTTACATATTCTCCCAGTAAGTGTTCCTGGATGTTATGAATATATGTATATATGTAGCATCTGGATTAAGGTACATATAACTGGTAGAATAAGACTGAAGAGAGCATAAGAGAGCATGGAAAGGCATTTAATTAACTGAATGACTTTTAATTTATAATATGGTAGAAATGTTACTACATTATCTTGCTAGTTTAAATACTTCTATTAAGGGGCGCCTGGGTGGCTCAGTCATTAAGCGTCTGCCTTCAGCTCAGGTCATGATCCCAGGGTCCTGGGATCAAGCCCCACATTGGGCTCCCTGCTCAACGGGAAGCCTGCTTCTCCCTCTCCCACTCCCCCTGCTTGTGTTCTTTCTCTCTTCAGTTGTTAGTCTTTCCTACCCAGAGAGAATACACAAGTCAGGTTGATGCAAATATTCCATTTGACAACTCTGTTTTTTCATTTTTTTAAAAAACAAAGTCACATTCTTTTCAGACCTTAGTTTTCTCTGCTAGGCAATGAGAAGCTTGGACTACAACTCTCTCTAAGGTCCTTACTGGCTATAATAGGATGTAATTCTATATTCTAATGTCTGAAGACTAATTCAGTCTTCTACCCATTATTCCAGATTCCGCTGATATACAATAGCTTGCTCAGCATCTTCACCAACATGCTTGATAGGCACCTCCCACTCAGCATTTCCAAATCCAAAAACCCTAATGCCTGACCCTTTCAAGCCTACACCACCTGCTGACTTTGCCGTCGTCTCAGTAAGCGAAGATTCTTTCCTTGTTTAATTCCATCCAAAAACCTGGGAGTCTCCGTTGGCTTTTTTACTTCCTCTCTCACCCCGTATCCAATACAGTCAGACAGGACTGTTGACTCTACCTTCACAGCATAGCCAGCATTCAGCTGTTCCTCCCTCTTCCATGATTTATCCTAATCCATCCTGCCATCAGCTTTCCCTGGATTATTTCAACAGCACAGTGGTTCTCAGCGAGGGACTGTTTCCCACTCACAACAGAGGATCCTTGTCAATGAACAGAAGCTTTTTTATTATCATGACTTGAGAAGGGAGGTTTACAACTAGCATTCAGTGGGTGAACACCAGAAATTCTGCTAAATATCTTACGATGCACAGGACATACCCCACATGACACAGGATTATCCGGTCCAAAATGTCAGCAGTACTACTATTAAGAAACCTGGCGTAAGGGCGCCTGGGTGGCTCAGTCGTTAAGCGTCTGCCTTCGGCTCAGGTCATGATCCCAGGGTCCTGGGATCGAGTCCCGCATCGGGCTCCCTGCTCCGCGGGAAGTCTGCTTCTCCCTCTCCCACTCCCCCTGCTTGTGTTCCTGCTCTCGCTATGTCTCTCTCTGTCAAAAAAATAAAAAATAAAATCTTTAAAAAAAAAAAAAAAAAAGAAACCTGGCGTAAGCAGCTTCCACATTTGCCAGCCCTAATACTCTATGCTCCTGAAGGAGTTAGTCATTTTTCTGTTCCAAATTTCCCAATACTTTCCCATCATACTTATCCTCCTCATCATCTAAAAAGCCCTAGATAACCTTCTCGGTCCCATCTCTGACCACTCTCTTGTTTGTTCACCGCACGGTGACATCTCACATAGCAAGCATTCTCTGCCCGCAGGGCATTGCCTTTTAACACTGCACAGCTGATATTCAGCTAACCATTATTGACCACTGGTTTCTCAAGTGGTAGGCAAATTGACCTGCAAATCAAATACAATTAAATACAATGTCTATCTAGCATAATTTGGCAAATCAGTAAACACCTTAAAAAGTTATGGCATAATACAAAATAATGCTAAATATTAATGAATTAATGCACTGATTTTTAAAGTTGCACATTTTATTTTTGTTTTTAGTAATAATAAAACTGATAGTGACCATTTATTTATTATGATTTAATCCTCAGAAGAACTGCCTATAAAGAGAAAAATGTTATTTCCATTATTTATAGAGAGCAACCTCATTTCCACAGATCATTTTTTTTTAATTTTATTTATTTATTTGAGAGAGAGAGAATGAGAGACAGAGAGCATGAGAGGGAGGAGGGTCAGAGGGAGAAGCAGACTCCCTGCCGAGCAGGGAGCCCGATGCGGGACTCGATCCAGGGACTCCAGGATCATGACCTGAGCCGAAGGCAGTCGCTTAACCAACTGAGCCACCCAGGCGCCCCATCCACAGATCATTAGGACCTGGAATTGTCTTGTGTTTGAAATTCTGTGTGACTGGACTCAGGCCTCAGGCTCCTTATTGAGATAGGGGGTGAAGCACAGCACACCTTAGTTGGCAGATTTCCATTGGTATCGCCATCTCTATGAAGCTTGCTAAAACTCACTGACCACTACATCTAACTCTCCAGGGCTGGATTCCAGGTTTGGACATTTTTGACAAGGACCAAGGAGACTCTGTGGCTTAGAAAGTGCATACACAAAACGTAAACACTGAATACATAAACATAAAGCAGCTACAAGTAATTTCCTATAGCATGAGTGTAATTCTAAGTTGATGATCGATTTGCCCAGACAGAAATAGTGAAGTTCCTTTGCTAGCCTGAGCCATAATTCCTTTTCAGTGACTACATCAATGACTCCATCAACATTTCTAGAGACTACTTTATTTCAGGCTCAGTGCTTGGAGTTAGAGGAAGAAAGATGAATGAGATTTGTGCAAGAGATCTCCTTCTGTTGGCTGCTCTGCTTAGGCTGTTAATTAAAGAATCTTGGTCTGCAGCTCTAGTACTGAAATTACATCTTTCTCACATGAAAGGAAAGAACAATAAAAAATAAAATTCCATGTAGAAATATGACTACCATCATGGCACGATTTTTCCTCATCACTAATTTTCTCCCATAACTGAAAAGTTTCTACAAAGTAACTGTGCGTTGTTTAAAAAACAAAAGGTCCTTTTTCTCCCTACTCTGCCAATTGGCTTCTTTAGCCAAATCTCGGCTTAGCAACACTTTAAAACAACCATCTTCTGCTTGTTTATTGCACTGACAACAACAACAATTCACGTAGTCCCTCCAATTTAGAGATTCCAAGTTTGTTTTAAAATTTTGTGAATCCTTTATTTGAAGCAGAATTTTTATAAAGAAAATTTAAACAAAAAATTTTAAGATTTAAAGTTATTGCATTATAATATCTTTTTTCAATTCTTCCCGAGTGGTTAGAGGGTATCTGTTGTGTATACTATAAAAACAAATGATGTAATCATGATTCTTAAGATGGAGGGAATTTGGATTATTTGGTTAAGCTTCAGCATAGAATATATTTTATAGGTGACAGAACTGAGTCTTAGAAAGATTTACCTACTATTGGTGATTTGGATGCCTTCTCCACCAAAAAATATTAACATATTTTCAAGCATTAAGGTATAATCGGGTGATAATTATATATTAAAATATAATTAATAAGATCACATTATTATGATAACAATGATAATCATTGCCTTATTTACAAGCAAGTTAAGGTCTATTTTTTTCCTTGTATTTACCTTTTCCACAACTTACTTTTTACTGATTAGGTCAGTTATACTGTTTTCTTTTCCTTTTTTCTTTTTTTTTTAAGATTTTATTTATTTATTTGACAGAGAGAGACACAGCGAGAGAGGGAACACAAGCAGGGGAGTGGGAGAGGGAGAAGCAGGAGAGAGAGAAGCAGGCTTCCCGCAGAGCAGGGAGCCCGATGTGGGACTCGATCCCAGGACCCTGGGATCATGATCTGAGCTGAAGGCAGTCGCTTAACCAACTGAGCCACCCAGGCGCCCGGTTATACTGTTTTCTAATAAAAGTGCAGTAATACAAACATATATGTAACTCTGCTCAAACAATAACTCTAGAGAACCAGAATGTTATTGTATGCATGAGTGTGTCGTATAGTGAGGTAGCAAGATATGACGAAGCTTTAACTGTTCATTTGGTAAATATTTTAAAAGCCCAAGAATGACTATTCACTAAAATTATGCGCTTGTCATCTTTCTACCATATCAGCTCATAAAAGCTTTATTAGCAGTACTACCACTTCTGTATGAAATTAGAAAATATGAAATGCCTCCAGATGGTGTGTTTAAATGAAATCTACCATCTTCATGAACAGCCACACAGAACCCAGCATTTCATCGCGCAAGCGGGCGGACTTCATACAGGCGGCGTGCTGAAGGAGCTGAGGCCGAGGAACTGGCAAAGGAAGAAAAAGAGAATGCATTGGGCACAGAGGCCGAGCAGAGCCTCGCAGAGGTTGGAGGTGGGAGTTCTGTGACCGAGTATGATGATGACTTGTATGTGTTCATTCCTGGAGACAATCCAGAACATAATTCACCAGAGCAACTCGTGAGCTGCAGACCCCCTCTCCCCCCGCCACGACCTGTAGCTGCTGCCTCCCAACTGGAAACACCGCACTGCACATTACAGGGTAAGTTTAAGGTTAAAACAACAACAGAAGTTTGACAGGCTTCCATAGCATATAGTACAGTGGCAGATTTGTTACAGGGAAGATCAGCTTTTAAAACCAAGAGCAGCTTTCCTGCTCTTCCTTAACTAAGGCCTCAGAAATCAAGCAAGAGATACCTGCCACTGATTCACCCACAGCCTCTTTCCCTCCCTCCCTCTCTCTCTTCCTTTCTTTCCTTTTCTCTCCCTCTCTTCACCCTCTTTCCTCCCTCCTTCCCTTCCTCCTCCCCTCCCTCCCTTTCTTCTAGAACAGTCTCATTATAAAGCTTTAAATAAGTAAAGCAATAAAACTTGGAGGAGTCTGTAGTCCTTCACATAAAATGAACCTCAAGAATCATGTGGGAAAGTAAATGACAACTTTCCTTTTAAAAAGTACTCTTAGTTGTCTGGCAAAAGGAAAAGGCTAAGAACACTCAATATATTGCTAAAGTGGAAGAACAGTTAAAGGGCTATGATTACATTTCTTCCCAAATGCAAGAATGACCTGTGTAATGGGGGGGAGGGGGCGTGGGGGAAGGGGCTGGTGCAGGTCCCATCAAGATGAGCTTCCGTATTGGACTTATCTGGCTGGAGTGTTCAACAGCCTAACAGACTTCCAGCTCCAGGTTCACTCTACAGTCACTAATTATCACCCACTTTATTGATCACTATTTTATATCTACTTTCCACATTCAAAAAGTGTTCTTACAATGAAGTTTTAATAAGAAAGATGAAAGAAATATCTGTTATTAAAACTCTGTCATTATACTTCTTAGCTGTTGAGCCCTAGGGGGCTACAAAATATATATAAACACTCTTTAAAAAAGGTGGATTTTGAAGCCATGAAATTTAGCATTTGCATCATTGAAGGGCCTGTCTCTATAAAGGTTCAAGTTGATGAACATAAACCTTTACTAAGGTTATACACTGTATTTAGAGATGAAGAGTCCTCCTTAATGGAAAGTATGGAAAACCTCATGGTCATGCCTCTGATTCTTTCACTCATTCAACAAATATTTATTGATTACCTACTATGAGCCAAGCTCTTATAGACCATTGCGATAGATCAGTGAAGTAAGTGTATCAATACTGGGGGTGGGAAGAGAGACATAGATAAGCAGTACACTGACAATAAAATTCTGGTATATTTTCTCACTTTCTACAGATGTGAATAATTTCATATAACTATTAAAATACATTGTTAAGAAGGCAAAGTTGTCTTTTATCAGGCTAAATCTCTTAAAAGGACTGATAATAAATAATATTTTCCCAAATGTAAATTTTTATGCATAGTATATTGGTTAGGAGGTCTGAAACTACTCTATAGAGACTATTCACCAGATATCTAAAACCAGAAGTATACATTGGCTAATATATCTTCTGAAAAGTACCAAATAGAAAAAGCAAGATAAAACAAAAAAATCCCCACTTTTTATTTTAAAACTGTACTTTTACACTTTCTATGCAGTGTTACTTTTGATCTCATCTTTCATAGGGCTAATATAGGAAATATTGTAAATGGAAAATAAAATGTCAACATTTTTTCTTAAAATTCTTTGATTAATGTCTTAGTAAAAAGTAAGACTAGAAGCTACCACTTCTTTTTTTTTTTTTTTTTTTTTTTTTGCCGGAGATTTGGTATGGGTTCTTTGAATTTAGCTAGTGATACCTTCAGAACTGTCTTCTAAGACTAGTTTCATATGTCCTCAAATTATCAAAAAAGTGAGGCCCCCTCCTCGTATCCTGAGCATTAGATTCCCCATAATGGATTTATGGGCATATTCACTGGAGAAAACAAGAATACAAAACACTATAGAACACTTTTTGGTTTATAAAGAACACATTGTCCCTTTTTATCTTCACAACACACATGCAAGGCAACAATCACTATGATCCCTCTTTGACTCAGACCCAAGACCACAGAGCCTGTAATTAGAATGTATCAAATACTTCTATAAACCGGCTTCCTCGGCTTTGAAGAGTCTTCTCTTTGTTACACACTCTTCCTCTAATTTTTTTTTTCAAAAATTAGAATGATAGGAGTGATTTATTTTCAACTTTATTTACTAATGTACAGTTTAAATTAAGAATGCTCAAGCCCCACTCTGACATGAAAAGTGGAATCTGATACATTGAGAAATAAAAAAGTAAAATGTGTTATTTCTGGTGCAAGCCCAACTTTAGAAAGAGTTGGGAAGGAAGGTGGGTGGAGAAACAAAGGGAGTTAGCAGCTCAGGAAATGGGTTGATAAAAGTAAGATAGTTGACACATTCCGCTAAAAATGAAACACTGTAAAAATGTTTCCCACACACTTAATCTGGTTTCACCTGTTATGCTGTCAGTGAAACAGAAGTCATGAAGTCAAAATCTCAGTACCATATTATTCATAGGGAGAAAGGCAAGTCATGCTGATTTGGAAGTTAGTGCTAGGCATGTAGTCATTAGTACTTCTTGGCTTAAACTAACTGAAACAATCAGATTTAAGACTCCTTTGGGGGAGTCCTCATGAGCCTACCCAGAACAATGGCTGAACTACTTAAGATAATATATATTTTATTCTGCTCTACAACTTGTCTTTCTCCTTAGCTTCTACATTTTTCCACTAAAATATCCATAAATAACCTAAATTGTTTTGGTCAGATTGTCACCAAAGAGGAAGCGGAATAGTTCTCCCTTCAGTCACGTGTGTGAATCTCTCAGAACAACCCACAAAAGTAATGATTTTTCAGTCAGTAACTGAAATTCTTTCCATTTTATTGTTTTCATTAATGCTTTAAGCAAAACATCGGTCAAAAGTCTAATTTTTTAAAGATTTTATTTATTTATTTTAGAGAAAGAGAGAACGGGTGGGGAGGGGCAGAAGGAGACGGAAAGAGGGTCTCAAGCAGACTCCATGCTGAGTGAGGAGCCTGACAGGGGGCTCGATCCCAAGACCCTGAGATCACGACCTGAGCCAAAAACAAGAGTCAGACGCTTAACTGACTCTGCCACTCAGGTGCCCCAAAAGTCTAATTTTTAATAAAATTCTCATTGGTGTGGCAGGGAGCCATCAAAATGTTTTCCAACTTATTCATTAACCAAAGTACGCGATACCTTTGTCTTCTAAATAACTGCTATAAAATATTTTAATACATTCTTTAAAAAATATGTAAAGATTTTACTGGCTATTAAAACCATGAAAGATTACTCTTTTCATATGAATTAATCTTCAAGTCATTGATTATCCATGCCACCTTCTCACAAACCCTACTTTCAGTGTTCTTTAAGAATGAAGTTCATGCTGTCTTACAGACATCAAGAGTTGCATTTTGGAACCTCAGTTTGTTAAGCCACAGTGAGACTTCCTGTAAGAAACCAAGTGATGGCATGTTTGGCTAGTCCCCCTGTCATTTTCAGATAAATTGAATGTTAAGCAAAACACCCAGTGCAAGCCCAATGAAAGGTGAAATAACTTCAAGTGAAAAAAAAAAAATCTTAGCATATTCTGCTTGAAAAACAAGTTTTCCAAAGCATTTGGGATTTGAGGCTTAGTTTTATCACTCGATTTTCTGATATTAAATCCCTTATAAATTATCTGGAAAATACTTATATGCCTATTTATATGTTTTCAGAGAAGTCCATGTTTTAAACAAACCTTTGTTTTTCTTTAAGATTATATTTTTAAGTAAACTCTACCCCAAAGTGGGGCTCAAATTTACAGCCCTGAGATGAAGAGTTGCATGCTCTACTGGCTAAGTCAGCCAGGAGCCCAAACAAACCGTTATTGGTTTTTTTCAAGATTTTTTATTTTTTATTTGACAGAGAGAGAGTACAAGCAGGGGGAGCGACAGGCAGAGGGAGAGGGAGAAGCAGGCTCCCCGCTCAGCAGGGAGCCCGATGTGGGGCTCGATCCCAGGACCCCGGGACCATGACCGGAACCGAAGGCAGACGCTTAGCCATCTGAGCCACCCAGATGCCCCCAAACTTTTTCTTTAAACAAAGTTAACAATTACAAACTGCAGGAGAATATGTTAGCAAATTATATAGTGTACTTTCCTTTTTGAAATTTATGAGAGTATATATAAATTATTTGGGGAGAGTTTCAAGGAAGTGACAGATGGACATCAACAATATTGCATAAAATAGAAGAGTAACCACCATCTAAATATTTCATAAGCAGGGAAAATGGTGGAAGGCCAGACGGAAAGAAGTCAAAATTGGTGTGATCTCGGAGCAAGACAAGAAACAGGAGGTGAACCCAAAGAAGAAGAAAAGAAAGAAGATGAAAAGGAGCAGGAGAAGGAGGAAGACCCGTACACGTTTGTTGAGACTGAAGACAGTGACTATGACGTGATACTGGCCAATATGAGTACAAAGAAAAAATTGGGGAGTCGCTCTTTTATTATAAACAGACCTCCTGCCCCTACACCTCGACCCACAAATATCCCTCCAAAAGAGGAAACCACACCTTACATAGCTCAAGGTAATGCTTTTTGGTGTGTGTGTGTGTGTGTGTGCGAGTGTTTTGGGGGTGGGAGGAATTGTCCTCTTTTTAGTGGGGTCAAAAACCCCAAAGATGAAAAATCCAAGTCATAGGTGAGTTCTATTGGCCCATTTTTAAATTTAGAAACATAATGAATAAAGAAAACAAGAACAATGGGTAGGGTTCTTGTTTCTAATTCTTCATTAAAGAAGGATAATTTTGACAAATTATCCAAGAACATGAAACCACAGCTTGTGTGGAGAAATTCTATTTGAAACTTTTTCTATAATTCTCTAAGAGGGAAGCTCAACTCCTATGAATAATTTGCAACACAAGATAAGAGGTAAATACTTTACTTTTGCTCCAACTTTACTTTTTGCTCCTAATTCCATGTAAAATAACTTTAAAAACCTAAAAAGTTGTGAAAACTAGAATCTCAGATATACAACCACAATTACTCTGATAATTGTACTTCACCCCACCAATTAAGATTCACTTCATCTGTCATAGAATTTCTACTTCATTTTACACTTCAATTCTTCTTTCTCATTTTCTACTCAGTTGAATCTGAATAAAAAAACTAACAGATCCCGGAGCTTTTTTTATATCTATAGCCCCAGCAGAGTACATTTACACTACTATTATTTCCTGGCATTCTTGTATACTCTGTTTGGTTTGATGTAGTCCACAAGTCCATTGTGTCTGAGAGATGGACTTTTATTTATCAGTGCATTGCATGCATTTTGGGGCTAAAATACCATCCTAGGTACTGAGAAAATGGGCTAAAACAATTTCTTCATCCTTGAGGAATTCCTAGGTGATAGATATGCAAATAAATATCCAGAGTACAATGTGACACTTTTTTAGAGATTTTTTGAGCAAAATGTTTGGGGGATAACTAAACTGAGAAGCAATCAGTTATACATTCAAACAATTTAAACCAAGTACTCAAACAGAACATTTAAATGTATACCACGAACCTGCCCAAAAGAAGCACATTTACTCATCTGTGCTTAATATGTTCAAAAGAAACCATTCTATTGCTTAAGCATTATGTTTTGAGAAATTTGTATAAGAAAATTTAGCGAGTATATATAATTTCCAGTGTACAATATATTTACTCAACAGTGTTCTGCTGATAATGTTCAAGGAACTATTAAAAATTAGAAAATAATAACAAATTAATAAATGTGTCAGCTAAAATAAAATGTCAACTGGAACAATTATCTAGATTATTAAGGCAGGGATTAGCTGTAATTAGAAATTCTTAGATTGTCTAGCATAGTGACATCTAGGATGTTACTAGCTCTTAGACAAGGATACTGCCTCCCAATAAGTATTTTTTAAAGAGAGAAGAGAGAAACAGCTCAACACAAGAATTTAGTTGTATTCGAGAAATTTCTGAAGTGGTACTTCGTCCTCTGTATCCCAGTCCTTGGGGAGTTCTCAGGACCACAAATAGAGACTCCTATGTTGCGGTGTTCTATTTTTTGCATTTTATCTTCTCATCCTTTTATGGGCTGTCATATTCTTATTTTCCATGAGCTCTTTCTTGTTCTCTATTTGGTTTTTTTTTTGGATTTTATTTATTTATTTATTTGACAGAGAGAGAGAGCACAAGCAGGGGGAGTGGCAGGCAGAGGGAGAGGGAGAAGCAGACTCCCCACTGAGCCGGGAGTCTGATGCAGGGCTGGATCCCAGGACTCTGGGATCATGACCTGAGCAGAAGGCAGACGCTTAACCATCTGAGCCACCCAGGCGCCCTTTAAGAAATTTTAAAAGCTATTTATCTCCCCTACTTATCACAAGTTTGACACCCTTCAGCATTTATAAGAAATCTTTCTAATTCAATTACACAATGTGATTTATTCTCCTTTCCATTATTTATTCCTTTCCTCTTTCACTGGAATTTACTTGCTTTCCTCTCCCTTTTGTGCTATTGATTGTTGATCATTCTCTTCCCACATTAAGAAAACATTGCCTCATCAGCTAATTCTTTCTTGATGTTCTTTGCACTTCACAGGATAAAAGTCTTTCATCACATCTTTCCTCTTTTTTTTTTTTCTCTTTTTCATAGCTCAGGCAGCTCTATTAAATAAAATTGCCATCATTTCCCAGAAAGCCATCCATTCAATTAAAAGAACATTAATTTGCCCCGGTTCTTGCCAGAGCACAGAGGTAGTAGCGGAATTTTGGCACATCCAGAGTATGTTAATGTAGCCCAAAGAGAAGGATGTAGAATAGGAGACGGAAGAAGAAAGCAAGATGCAGAATCCCAACTTACTATTTCAGAAATTCAAGAAAGTACTGGCAAGGAAACTAGGCAAATAAACCAGAGAGATATAGGAAAATCATGTTGGCTTTTGCGAGATCATAGAAAACATGTCTGTTGGTGTCCACCTCTAGTTCCTGGCACAGAGCTCCTGAAACCTTTGTGATTTCCTGGATGACAGGAGGGTTTTTTGCTCTAATGAGGCAACTCTGAATGGGCTCCTGAATGGCTGGATGATGGCTGGTCATGAAATACACCAAGCCATGATTAAAAGCTTAGAATCTTCAGCCCTAGTCCCCCATTTTCTTGAGAAGGGAGAAGGGCTGAACATGTACTTACTGATCAATAGTGCCTATGTGAGGAAGATTCCATAAATCCTAATAGTAGGGGATTCCCAGAGATACCATGTTGGCAAACAAATCCACACAGGAAGGCTGACACACCCCAACTCAGTGGGGATAGAAGCTCCTGCACTCAGGACCCTGAGTAATTGTACTCTGGATATTTATTTGCATATCTATCACCTAGGAACTCCCAGACCTTGTGCTATGTATCTTTTCATCTAGCTGTTCATCGGTATCCTTTATCATATCATTTAATACACTGGCAATTGTGTTTTCCTGAGTTTTGTGAGCCACTCTAGCAAATTAATTAAACCTGAAGAGGGAGTCATGGGAATCTCCAATTTGTAGCCAAATTAGACGGAAGCTGTGGATAAGCTAGGAATCTACTACTTGTGATTGGCATCTGACGTAGAGTGGAAGCAACGCTGTAGGACTAAGCCCTAAGCCCTGACTAAGTGTCAGAATTGAGTTAAACGGTGAGACACTCAACTGGTGTCATAGAATTTCCTGATGGGGAGAAAACTCCGCACATTTGGTGACCATAAGTGACTGAAGTGAAGTGTCGTGAGTGCTGTAGAGGTGTGAAAGTGAAAGAGACACACATAAAAGAAGACAGGAGGAAAACTGGGTTTCCCCGTTACAGCTTTGCAGAAAGTATTCAGATTCAGCTGCTATTACTTAAGCAAATAACTTCATATATCTGAGATTCCATTTCCTCCTTGTAAGTTTGGGATAAAAATAATATCTACTTTAAGGATTGCTGTAATCTTTAAGTGAGATAAAATTAGCCATTACCCAGCACAATATTTGGTATGTGGTATACACTCAATAGATTATAATTAATAGCAATTCTACTTTGTCTTTGCTCAGTTTCTGGGCAGACAATGACTTTGAGAAACTAACTTTACAGGAAAAATGTGTGCTTCCTGGATTCTGGTGGTGTCAGAGGCTAAGGAAGCTATTAGAGATGGAGAAGGAGGAGGGGGATATCCTGTCCTCTAAAGGGGCAAGTCTACTTTGTCTACTCTTTATAGTCTTAGTCTACTCCTTATAACAATTATTGTGAGACAACTTTTATGCTTATTTCTAATTCATGCAACAATCTTACATGGTTGGCATTAATAGCCTCATTTTGCAGATGACAAAACTGATGTTCAGTGAGTTTCAGTGTCTTGCCCATGGTGATAAAATTAGGAACAGGAAGATGTAGGATTTGGACCTACCTCAGTCTGGTTCTCTCCACAAATTTCCTTTACTGATATATTTATTTCTGGATTATTTGTTAATATTTATTTCCTCCTCAGACCCATAAGATCGGTGGAGGGAGAGACCAACCTTTTCTGGTTTTGCCCGTCATTGTATCTTTTGGTACCAAGCTTGGTGCTGAATTTATAGTGGAAACTATGAATATTTGAGGAATATTAATTGAATGAATATGAAGATGAAAAGATGATAAAAGTGACAAAAACCACATTGATGTGGTTCATTAGGATACCTTATTAACACTCTGGAGGATGGTCAGAATAATATATCAATCTACTAGTTCCTAAATTTCTCTTGTTTTAAACCATCTTATGTTTTTTTTTAATTTTTTTATTTGAGTATAGTTGACACACAATGTCACATTAGTTTCAGGTGTACAACACAGTGATTCAGCTTCTTTATACAATATGCTGTGCTCACAAGTGTAGCTACCATCTGTCACCACCACACAGCGCTATTACAGTACCATTGACCATATTCCCTATGCTGTACCTTTTCTCTCCATGACTTATTCATTCCATAAATGGAAGCCTGTACCTCCCACTCCCCTTCACCCATTTTACACCCCTACCCCCCAAAACACACACCCTCCCCTCTGGCAACCATCAGTTTGTTCTCTGTATTTACAGGTCTGATTCTTTTTGTTTATTCATTTATTTTATTTTTTAGATTCCACATATGAGTGAAATCATACAGTATTTGTCTTGACAGTTAAACCATCCTATGTTTGAAGTACAACTAATGTGAAAAGGAGAGGTCATACAAAATGGGACAAAGTTCCAGGATACTGACATACAGCTAAGCATTCTAATCCCTTTCACACAGCATAACATAATAGAGGCTCTATTTCGACTATTACCCCTAGAAATGTAACTTATTAATGCAAAACTAAACCCATAGTTTTTTATTAAGAGATATGTTTCTGATTTTTTATTCCACTCCTGTCATACTAAACCTAATTTTGGTGAACAACAACAAAAGAATAATTTATTTTTCTTTCTTTTTTTTTTTTTAAGATTTTATTTATTTATTTGAGAGAGAGACTGAGATAGAGAGAGCATGAGAGGGGGGAGGATCAGAGGGAGAAGCAGACTCCCTGCTGAGCAGGGAGCCCAATGCGG